TTCACATTTTAGATTAGCGAAAGATAAGAATTGTGATTATGGAGGTGGACAGAAATGGGACACATGGGGCGATTGATTTTTGGATTGATTGATTGATGGTCCCGTTTTAATCATCGTTAAAATAATTTATAGCCAGTTGTCACCGTATAGTATATGAAACATATGAGCTGAGGGCCATAAATGTGACTGTACAGTGCAGAGACTGATATATGTATATGCACAGTACTGTCAAACAGTTTTTTTAATATTTTGGGAAAACATGAAATGTGTGTAGCAATGACACATATATAAACATACATGGAAACACATGCCTATCAATGCCTATATTAGGCAAAAAAAGTTTTATTATTGTAGCCCTGCGAGAGACTGTGCAGGGTGTACCCCGCCTCTCGCTCTAAGTCAGCTCATTTCTTTAAGTAGTCTTCAGAAATGGTTCTCAAGGACGTCTGAAGGTCATGCTGAGCTCTTCTTTGGATGTTTGCTGTTCGCTTTAATAATGTTGAGGTCTGGGCTTTTCCATCCAGGTATGCTCTAGTTTCTTAGAGCCAAGTGTACTACATATGATTGAGTTATTGTGTAATTTTTCCCCCAAAAAAATAATAAATTGCATGATACATTTTTAAGCAAAAAATGCAAAAGAAATGTCTGATGTAGCAAATAATACACAAATGTAAATTCAGATATGCAAATTATTAGTTCTTTTTTTGTAATTTTGCAATTATTACATTGTTTAGTCTTTAAAGGGTTGACAGCATGTTTGGGATCGTTGTTTTCTGGAGAATGAAGCTGCTGCCAATCAGAAACTTTCCGTGTTGTGTTGTATGATGTATCAAAATCTGATTTTATTTTTCTGCATTCAGAATTTCATCAATTTTGAGAAGATCTCCAACACCACTGGCTGGAAAACAGCCCCAAACCATGATAAAGTCTCCACTGTGTTTTACAGATGGCTGTAGACCATAGGTGTCAAACTCTGGCCCGCAGGCCAAATTTGGCCCGCAACCTAATTACATTTGGCCCTCGAAGCCATACCAAATTACTATTAGAGCTACTGGTATTATACAGCTAATATATATATTGTTTAGTATTAAGCTTTGCTTGTTCCATATTCAGTTTTTCAGCAAAACTTGTTTGAGTCCATAAGAAAAGATTCATTCTTATATCTGGAGGAAGATATTTTTTTTTTCAATAAATATTAACGTTAGCCCGCGACTTTGTTCCAGTTTTGAATACTTTGTATTTGAGTTCGACACCCCTGCTGTAGACACTCAGCCGTACCTCTGTTGTTGCAGCGCTCTCCTGATCTCTTCTGTATTTACTGGCTGTGATTTTAGCCAAAAATCTCCCTGATTTTCAGTCCAGATCTTATCAGGTCTTTTTTATATTTCTTAAGGATCTGACTTTTAGATACTGTTCGTCTGCTGTGGATAGTCTCTTGTTTTTTTCTTAGGCCTGTCACGTCTTCTTTTTCTTTTCTCCTCCACTTCTTTCTCTTGACAATTTTAAATTGGTTCTATGCTAAGTTGTCTGTTATGTGCAGACACAACAGTGGTGCTTTTTATCCTTAAATAATTTATATCAAATTTAAGTGGCTTAACAAACATAAAGACATTCCTGTGGAAAAGGTCAGGTACATGGACTGGAAATGAGTGAAAAAGAAAAACAAGGTAGCTGAAGACTTTTGCACAGTGTGTGCATGTATTTAGACTCCTCCCACAGAGGTCGGTTACCTTGTTAAAGTGCTGCAGTCCGATTGCATAACACTGAAACCTGAATCCACAAATCACTGCAGTTTGACTCATTTCACTTCCTGAACGTCGGTCTTTCTTTCAAGTCTGTCAAAAGTGCTGAAAAAAGTTAAGGGTGAATTAAAAGGTAGAAAAATAGCCTATCCCTCTGAAAATATTCACAGTATGAAGGTAAAATCAAAATAAAGTCAGCTGATTCTGCAGCAGTCAGGTGGAGCGACCCACGAGGCAGCGTCTCAGTGAACAGCGTGAGCGTAAAAGAATTAAATCAGCTCGGCTGAACGACCAGTCGGCTGACAGGTAATCATTCTTTGTTTTCTTTAATTCCTCGAGCTTATTGTTGTCGGCGTTGTTGTTGACAGGTGCGCTCAGCCGTGAGGAAGCGCTTCCACCGATGGCAGGAGCAGCACTCGATCCGAGCCAGGATGACCCAGGCCATGTCCATCCCCACTTCACCTTCACGGGTCAGCTTTCACAGCATCAAGCAGTCGACGTCGCTATGAAAGAGGAAGCCAGCTTTGTCCTACATGCTCGCGCTTTGGGAGAAACCTCCAGCTGTCATTGTCATCCTTTTCTGCCACATCACTGGAGTAACACTAAAACACTTTCTGCGGCTAGAGATCTAGAGAGAGGCTGCATCAGTCTCCTAAACCTCAGGAGGGACATTACACAGACTTTCAGGAGAAAATGGATGGGTACAGGCGGGAGAGGACGTTGCGATGTTTGTGAAAATGGGAGGTTAGTGGATCAAAAAGATGCACGTGACCAAGCTGATGAGTGTGTACTGGAGTTTGAATGTACAGCACTTGTTTAATTGTCTGTCGTTTCCCCGCTGGCACTTTGTTTTTGCTAACATCGCCATCACGATTGAGGATTTACGCTCCTGGACTGCACCGAGCTGGATTCCATCTCAGCGGAGTCGTGTGCTAGCAGGGGCGTCGTTACTTATCCTGAGATTTTATTTTAAGTTTTTATTTTTCTCTCAAGCAGCTGTCTGGTTCTGGTGTTTGTTTATTTGATGTTGTGCTTTCTTCCTCTGTTCTCAGCTCGCTGCGCTCGTGCTGCTTTCATCGACTTTCCAGGAAGGTTAAACACATTCCATAATTCCCACCTGAAGAGTTTTGTTCCAGAAAAAACAGACACATTTACAGCTTTTACAGCTTTCAGTAACCTCCAAGTGACCCTCTGGGGACATTCATGAGCCTACGTGTATATTTCTGTGACAACTTTAATTGTTTTCTGTAAGAAGTGGCCCATTGGGATGGCAGTGTTTGTCTTCTATTTACATTTTCCACCTTTAATCGCTGCATTGTGACAGTAACAGACTGAGAACAGCGTGATTTAGTGCTGCAGAAGCCCAATAATGCAATGAAAACAGCTCAGCTGATGGAGAAAATTCAGGTTAACTCCCATAATTTCTTACCTCTTAACACTTTAGAATATTGGTCATAGAGAAAGGAAACATAGTATGATATTATAAAGATATAATCTAGCCTTTAAAACCATTTATTCCAGTATAAAATGAGGTTTAAGGTTACTGTTAGTTAGTTTCACATCATTCGTCTCCTTTCTGAGCTCAGGTGACTTCTTAGTCGAGCACAAAGAGTGAAAGTGGAGGAAATAGCCTTTTACTGCAGAATAATTACATGGCTTAACTCTCGCTTAAAGCACAAGCTTTCATGTGTATGTTTCTATTTATGTACAGATTAAACAGGCGGGATAATTAGGGCGGTGTAGGGTGGCTGTGGTTGAGATGATGGAGGTATGTCCACTAATTGAATTTAAAATCCTCCTCCTCACATACAAAGTCCTGGATGATCAGGCCCCATCATATCTTAAAGTCCTCTGAGCACCGCATTATCCCAATAGAGCACTTCACACTTGAGGCGACTGTTTCTGTGAAATATATATGTAGGATTTAATCTAACTGAATTAATTGCAGGGTTAGCCGTCCAGTCTTCAGCTCCCCCTATAATAAAACCCTGGAGTGAAATGGCATGTGATAAAAATCTGCTGGATAAGCGAATTCCATTCAGCTTCATAAGTGCATATTTCTATATATAGCTAACCTTTGCCCCTTTGACTACAGCTGCTGTGCCAAGTAAGGCTAATCTCTTCCTGGCTTTAGCTCACATTGGGGCAAAATATGGTCAGAACGTCCCTACAGATCATTTCAATCTGGCCCCAAACAGAGGAACTGAATAAGAATCATCCCTCAAACCTCTCATGGTGATTGTCTGCTACGACTGTGTGGTTATCAAATGCTGACACAACATTTCGTTGGAATTTTCTTTTATTGTAACCTGTAACAATGGTTTCTGTTCAGCTACAGAGACGTGTAGCCTTTCTTCTAATTTATCTTACTGATCATTTATGGTGCCCGTCTCTGCGCCTGCAGATCCGCCTCAGTAATAATTGGTAGAGGGTTTTTTTTTTTTGTGCCGATTTGACCTACTTTGGCCTGAGAGGTTGGCTGCATTCAGACCATCTCTGAATCACGTGTGATGACCTGAATTTGGCTAAGATGTAGATTCAGCTTCAGACTCATTGGGACTCTTGGGTGTCTCTTTGGCTGTGATTTTACTCCTGGCACACTGGTTCTGGACCATTTTGAAGCCAGACCAGTTTGGATACATGTGTACTCAGAAAGTGCACACATGGCATATTTTGTTTTCTATACACACACACAGTAATCATGCATGTTTCTCACATATTCTCATCATCTTATCCAAACTAAACCTTTGTGGGCAGAAAAACAGTATTAACAATAGAAAGTTAATGTGGCAAATACATTAAATTCTAGATATAAGAAAGACTTTTTTTTTTTTTTTAATTAACCCACTTTCAAAGGATTAAATGTTTAATTATCTAATTTAGAAATAATTAGTATAATACCTGTGAAACTATTTATACACTTACCTCTAGAAAAACATAAGTCTAAGCATAAGAGAAGCAGCTACTAAATGAACTCTGTTTGTTTACAGCTGAAAGAAACAAAAGAATCAGAATATTTAAAACCCAAAACTATGACCTGAAAGTTGCTCAAAAAGAGTTTTTTAGAGCTGTAACCACAGGACCAGTGTGAGTGACAGCATGTTTCACATTACTTGGACACACAATACATTTAATTTTGTGGCATTTTAAATCAAATTAAGCGTCGTGTTAGTTCAGGTCACGAAGTGATTAAAGTCTCTGCGGCATCCCGCGTGGTTTTCTTTTACTTATCCTGTCGGTTAAACTTGTCAGAGCCCACAGTTTCACTCCTTCAGCATGTAGTTGCTGTGAATCTGCAAGCCACTTTGCAACCAGTCAATTTTTCAGATGGAAAGATTCTGCGTTAGTGGTCCTTTTAGTGCAGAGACTTTCACAAAGTATAAAAACTGCAGTGAGAATGAGTGGACCGCGTGTTCAGCAGTTCCTTTAATGCTTGTAAGTTAGTTAGTTGTTATATTTTTTCCTTGTCAGGGACCAGGCACAAAAGGATTGAACTCATATGAGAAACGATGCCTTATACTGGATTTAGCTACAAGCACTTTAAATACATACAATATTAAACAAGCCTATACTACAAATGCAGATAATAACAAGATAATCAAATGTACAAGCTTCTTCTTCTTTTGTGGATCATCTGCTTCCATTTCACTCTTTCTGTAGCGTCCACCTCTGTCACATGACCCCCCTCACAACACCCATGAATCTTCACTGCAGTCTGTGCTGTTCGTCCTGCCTGGCAGCTGCCCTGTCCGGACTGTTTCGGCGTCGCCTCACTAAGTTCCCATCCAAACACCTCAATCTGATGTACTTGTTTCTAATCCTTTTCATGCTGGATTCTTCTAATGATAAGTACAGTTTCCACCGGCACCCTGTTAGCCAACAGCATCAGGGGTGGTCATTTATC